TATGCTAGGCTACTCTGTTTCAGTGAGCTCTGTTTTGGCCTTTGTCTTTTAATGACCTTCGGTTTGTCTTATCTTATCATTCCAATTGGGAAACTCAAAGTGAAATAATCCTTTTCATTGCAACAATTATCTTAAAGAATACAATAAAATGAATAATGACTCACTAGATTACACTTATTCATGGAAGAGAGAAAAACATGAACACAACTCCAAAACTCAAACAATACCGAAAGAAAGTAACATAAAAAAAACAGAATTTTTTGTAGGGACTCCAATCATCCGAAATTAGTTAACGGATGCACATTTGTTTCTGATCTCACCATCCTTCCCGGTAAGAACTCCGAGCTTACCAAGTCTGACCATTGATTCGGCGAAATCTTTGTTGAAGGTAGAGAATTTTTCACCTAACGCGAGCTGTGTCGTGATGTATACTCTGGTCTGAATGTCTTTGAGAAGTGCCGAGTCAGATACGAACAGTCCTTTCTTCTGAGACACGGCATTGAAGTAGCCAGTGTCAAACTTCTCAACACTGCCTGGGTCCATATCCACCGTGGTGGTGGAATCACTAGGCTTGCACCTTTGTTTCAAGTCCCTAACGTAGCTAGGGTCCATGTCCGAATCAGCATCGCCGTTTCCGTTGAAGTTGTAGATACGTGGGTTTACGAGACCGCAAGTAGAAATTCCAATGGTGTGAGCTCCTGATCAAGAAACCATTTTTGTTAATTCAGCTTGTTTAACATAATAAAGTTGGTAACTTGAAATGCACTTGAAGGTGTTTGTGGAAATACCTGAGAGAACGACAAGGTCTTTAACGGTAAGACCCTTGTCCGTAAAGTTCTTCTTCAGTTCAGCTATGCCTGCGAAAGGCGATGGTAGATTCGCCTCGTCTTTTCTTGATATGCGACCATCTCTCCGGCCCAATGGAACCTCCCACCATGGTCCTCCGATCTGTAGAAAAGGCAACAAAAGGAGGTTTTTAGTACTCTAATTTCAATGAGAAAAATCAGTTCAATGGGGAAAAATGTGTTACCGCTGCGACAGCGTCTCTGGCGACTAAGGTTAGAACATCAGCGCAAGAAACAACATTGGGACACGCCTCCTCGAGGGCTGCCTTGGCGGCATCAACCACCTCATAGCCTCTCACTGACAAGTTAGGGATAGCATCTCTTTCCGCATCTTTGTTTGGAGAAAACAGAAGAAGGGAAGCATCACATCCCTACATTGATTCATACCCAAAAAAAAAAAGCACTTAGCAATGTTTACTCATATATCTATTATTATAGTCTCGAAGCGAAAACAAACTTACTCTGACGAAACAATCATGAAAATGCATCCTTAGAAGCGCGGCCGCAAGACTCTTCTTGGGACCAACAAGTTTCTCCGTGACATTACGGACAATGTCTGTTGCGTTAGGACACTTAGACTGGTAGTAGTTCACGTCAAGGCTCGACTTTGGATAGGCAACAGAAACTCCAAGAATGCTAAGAAGAACCACAAGTGCAAGAATGTTCTTGATCGCCATTGTTGCCTTTCTTCTTTTAGCTTTTTTTTTTTTTTAATATTAGCTTAAGAGATGTTGAGACAAACTTGGAGATGAAGATGAAGGGGACAGTTTAAGGCTTTTTATAGATCATTAGAGACATTGAAACCGTCAAAGGAGAAATTTTTAAATGGGATCAAGATAAACATATTTGAACAACAGAGGCAGAGGACGACATTGCAGGCCTCCACGATATTTCTGATTCTTGTTGATCGTTTAATATAATATTCCATTAGAAGAACCAAAAGCTTTTTTTTTTAATGTCTTGTTTTACTCTTTCAAAAAGTTATCGACTTTGAGAAGATTTGTTTGCACAACCTGTGTAATTTAGTGTGAAAAGAAAGCTCTGTTTTTTTCATTGTACCAAGAGGTAATATTCTCAAAACAACTGTTTTATTGTGGGCAATGATTTACCAGATCCGAGGTACGTAAAGAATCAAATCAAAATAAATAGATAAACTATAATCAATTTGTTGTCATGTGTGTGGAACACACGTTCGTCTTCTTGGTCTGCAATGTTTAGCATTATATTTTTCTTCTGTTCCATCATTACTCCTTAACCTCTTTCTTTAGAGGTTATATTATTTGAAAAAATGGATTAGCAAACGTGATTTGCAAACCTAAACATAATTTATAGTTTTATAAATCGACTCCAAAATGAAAGCATAAACACTAAATGCAAATGTTAAACACAAGCACATTTTATACAGTTTTGTTTTAAAAAAAATAAAATATCAAACAGAAAGCATGTAAAACATAAACAAAGATTTCATTTTTCTCAGAAAAAAAAAAAAAGATTTCATTTTTCTTAAACGAGCTCTAAGCATGAAATGGAAACCCTAATTGTAAATCCTATTAGGATTTGGATCTCAAATTCGATCATAGTAAAGCATCAAATAAATGCACACAAGATTTATAATGGTTCACTTTCAATGTGAATAACATGTCCATTTTTTTCGTCGCTACGAATTTCACTATGATATAAAATACAGAAATTACATTT